GAGTTCCACTTTTGTGGAAATACGGCTAAAACCAGCGGCTGAAACCGTCGTAAAAAATTACTGTAGGATGGCCGCTCTCAGGTTTCTCTCTGGTATTACATATATGCTTAAACTAGCCAACTTCGCGCATGCGCGTTATTGCTGGCTTCACAAAATCGGGAGAGTTGCGCTACTGTATATACTGTGGCCTTACTACCTTCATTGTAAACGGCCCTTAACAGTTGGTGGCTTTGGATTTGAATTTCTGCAGTTTGTCTTGTTTTTCACTGCAGTGTAGTGTTTTTTGGAATGTCATAATTTGAAAGAACTGTTGTAAAAAAACACGTAAATTTTTAAGGGATAATTAAAACAAAAGATAGAATTTATAATAAAGTTGAGAAAAGCTTTTAGTAAAGCCAATATGTTAAACATACATCAAATTTGTATGTGTGGCACCGGTCCTTTGACGCGTAGTTTGTTCTAACCTTTTGTTAGCAATTTATATCACCAGAAAGGGTCACGCACATATACACATACGCATTTTCACACCTATTTCAACCTTTAAAATTTTAGTATAAACTTATTGCTAGTCTGTCATTGATCGCTCCAAGACAAAATAAAGGAAATGTCTGATAAAGTGACCGAATCTGTGGAGGATGACAATTCTGTTACAATGCTCGATGTACTCCAAGTAGAAAATCAGCTCGAAGAAGACGCATATGCCGTTTTAGGTGCTTCTGATGACCAAAATTGTACTTACAGCAAGGTTGTAATCGTTTTCAAAGTTTTTGGGTTATATCAAAATTGAAAATTGTATTTTTATAGAGCATCTCACAAAAGTATCTATTATTATTTCATTAATTAAGATTAGTTTGGTTCATCTCGTTTAAATATTTATTATTCATAGGGATATATAAGACAAGCCTTATATGCATGCAAAACATGTTGCCCCAATAAAGTTCGAGCTGCTGTTTGCTTAGCATGTAGTTTTCATTGTCATGAAGGACATGAACTTGTAGAACTGTATACAAAACGACATTTTAGATGTGACTGTGGAAATGCTAAGTATGATGGCAAACAATGCAATTTGGAAAAGGTAATAGTTTTTTCTGTACATGATATATTTTATGATATGTTGTATGCATAGAGTATTTTCTTTAACTCATTGTTCTTGTTTTAGCTAAAATCTGCTACTAACACTGAAAATAAATATAATCAAAATTTTGATGGTGTTTATTGTATTTGTGGAAAACCATATCCTGATCCTGAAGGTGATGAAGATGACATGTTACAATGTGTAATATGTGAAGATTGGTATCATGTAAAGGTAAATGAAAATGTATACAAACAACATAACATATACTAACAAACAAAAGTTAATTAACAGTTTCTTCTAGCATCTAGAGCTTGATGACGGTGTACCTGCAGATAATACATATGATGAAATGATTTGTGCAGGCTGTATGAGAGAACATAGCTTTCTGTGGAAATATGCATCAAAATATGCAGGTCAGATGCTTTATATTTTTAACAAATATGTTATACTTTATTCATGCTCTACTTATATTAACTTATTAATATGTAATTTTGATGTTACTAGTGTTAAAACTATCAGATACAAAAGCAGATGCATCTGAAAAAGAAGTAGAAGTCAATGAATTGCCAAAAGGATGTCAAATGCCAAAAGTTACCTGTGTCAATACTAAAGGAACCTGTTTCTGGATAGAAGGTTGGAGGACTGCTTTGTGTACTTGTGAAGAATGTAAATCGGTAAGATATTTGATTATTGTTAATTTTTTTTCACATTTAACTTATAAAAAAACTGAAAGAATCTAAATTAAGCAATAATCTTTTTATATTTCATCTTTTATTATACTATAGTTCATATTTTATTATACTACAGTTGTATAATGCAAAAGAAATTGCATTTTTACTTGATCCAAAAGACAGCGTACAAGCGTATGAAGAAGCAGGCAAAAAGAATAAGCAGGAATCGCAATATGAAAAAGGCATGAAAGCTCTTGCAAGTATGGGACATGTACAAAAGTTAACAGCTATTGAAGGTAAATTTATGAAGCTAATTATTGTAATTATTTACTTTAATTTAGAAATATCTTTTGCAGAAAACTTACGTATATATATGTAATGCGTACTATAGTTGAACTGTTTCAATTTATTAATTGCAGAATACAACAATATGAAAGAACGGCTCATGCAGTACTTACAAAAATTTGCAGAGAACAAAAAAGTTGTACGTGAAGAAGATATTAAGGAATTTTTTTCAGAAATGGAATCGAAGAAACGTCCCAAAGTAACAGTGCCAACGTATTGTCGTTAAAGCTTTATGTTTTGCTATTACATTAATTTCAACATAGTGTCAACTATTGTATTAATTATATATATAAAACTAAGTATTTTATTATGTTTCTATATGCGACAAAATAAGTATGCAGTCTCGAGCCTTGAGACTTTTTTTTTATCCATTTTACTGCAGCAAGTACATTTATACTTTCTGAGATGATCGCCGAAATTTAAGACTGGCAAATTTAGAAAAGTTTTTTTTAGCGAGGCAGTAATGGCAATATATGAGTGAGTAAGACAAAGCGATTGTCGTACAAAAAAGAGTCGGTTATAAAGCTGACTTTTATGTCTGGCCTTTTTTTGTAGTAGTAGAAATAAGAAAGGTGTTGTTGAAGTAGGGCACACTGAGGAAAATATTGTATCTGTTAATATAAAAGTTTCCATACATAATAAAACCAACAGAAGAGGTCTTTAAGAAAGATATAAAAAACAAACATTTTATGTGAAAAGAAAGAGAAACAACTATACTACAGGAAGAATAAAAATAAATTAAATTCTTTGCAATTTGTATATTTATTGCAATTATATACACATATAATATATACACACACATATATATATATATGTGTGTGTGTGTATATATATATATATATAATTAACCGAATTAAATGTAATGATTTATAATTTTAAGTATAAATAAACAAAAAATATCTATAAAGAAGTATATGCATACAAAACTTAAAAAATTTAAATAAATTAACGCTTTATTTTTAGACAAATCCTATGTATTCATATATTTGCAGTCCCAAAGCAAAAGTGACCACATCAGCTGAATGTAAATGTGTTGGAAAAGGAAGTATTATGTTTTTATTCATTGTGTGAATAAATGATATTAAATAAGTAAATAATAACTAAGTGAGAGAGAGAAGAGAGATATAGAGTTTCATAGTAGTGATATTTATTAATTGCCATTAAGAGATAATCCTTGGTTACAAAATATACGGATCAGCGCAATTTTTAAGCAAGTCAGAATGTTCCCGGATAAATATACATGTGATAGCTGTTATACACGTAGAATGTCTCCGACATGTTCACAATGGCGGAACATATTGTTGAGGTTTAGTTACGTGCGGCCATATGTAATATATTATCCGATATCTTCGCAATTGTTTTAACACGTGTGACAGTGTGTCTTTTTTCTGCACTTCTCACGTTATATAGTTATTAAACCTTTGGCAGTGATATCTCAAATACATTATGAGTATACAATGCGTCTTTCACAATGTCACTATTCTCATTTAAATAGCATTTTTATACGATATGAAGAAACTATATATGACAGAAGGAATAAAATAATGTGTATATGCTTTTTCTTATCACTCCAAGACGGCCTCAACAATGATGGCCGCGTCATCGCGAACGATTCGTGATCCAACATTCCTTTTATCCTATTTACGCTACATTTTTAAATTTATCGATAAAACTTTCACGACATTTTTTATAAGTTTTCTCTATGATGTATCATAATATTTAAGTGATGCATACGCTTTCTATTAGATTCTCTTTTTTTGTATAATGCAAAGTAAAATAAAACCAAGCATAAAGAGAGAATCGCGGTTGCAGCATTTCGATTGTTTTTAATTTTTAGAAATATAATCAAATATACATTATTTTGTTTTTGATAATATAGATATATTATTTCCAAACTTTCTTATGCGTGTAAGACGCCGCTATTTTATACCAAAACAGTTTTGTCCTTTTAAACAATCATTGAAATTTATATTAGAAATTTAGTCTGTTATTCTTTTTTCTCAAAATCTGGTAAGTAATATAATGATGAAATTTACTAAGTAATATAATGATAGACCTAGATAATTACATTTTACGTTCTATAACTTATCACTGTACCTAAGTTCTGGAACAATTCCATGTAACAGGGTGAGTATATGTATATATCTTTATGTTTTTAAGACGGATGATACATAGCTACGCGCGACGAAGTATTTATAAAATCTACAAAACTTTATATTAAATTTACAAAAATGCTGCAATCATAGCTGATAAGTTTTGGGTTTTTTCTTTGCGCAAATTATCGTACGATATGCATCTTAGGATTATGTTCGCGACACATTCTGCTTTTACATTAATTTTAGATATCGCATAAGTTGACAAGTATATCTCATCTTGAGAGATCGGTGTGTTATTACCGATCTTGCGCGCATTTTTCTCTTTTTATTTTCGCGTTACAAACTTTCGTATTATTTTTATATATACACAAGACTAGACATATTACTATCCATATATTTGTAAGAAGATGATGACTTCAAATACATACGAAGAACACTTTTGCCGGCTGAGTTCCGCGGCCGGATCACAAATACACCGGAGCTATTTCTGATGTAAGTGATAATGTAATTTTATAAGTAGTAAGAGTAATAATAGATAGTATTAATATACATGGAATATCATTTATAAAAATGCTTATATGGCTAAATCTGTGCGTTGAGTTTCTTAAAATTATCTTCGATCTCACCCTTGTGCAACAAGGAATTGTCACATAGACAGTGTCCGTATGTATAATAATTTCACAATAGAGCCTGCGAAATAATTTTGCCTCATCTGTAATAATTCTCTTATCGCTAAATGATCGTACACAAGTGTGTTTTAATATTATATATGTATTTTGGTATTATTTTCATTATTTCGCCCTTCATGATCATTCCCTTGTCGCACACATTTTGTAAAGTCATTGCGTTATAAATTTAAATCTTACGATATCGCAGCAAATTATATAATATTCTAATAAAACTATACGCCGATCTTTTTACTGTTTATACAATTACAACGTAAAGTTTTCTCATGTAGGAAAAAAATAGTAGTTAAAATATAACAAATTTAGAAAATTTACTTTTTCTCAGTTCCTTTTTTGTGTTTGTTTTTACTTATGCTTTTTTATATGTAATTAGAAGTTTTGCGTTTAAATTGAATTTATGTGTATTACGTCTAATTATCTACTCCTTTCAAAATTAAGGCAAACATTTAATAGGAATCTTACGACAAGTACAAGCCTCTCAGCATGAAAAATGTGGACAGTTCTTATACATTTTAATCTCTATCTCTTCTTCTTCTTCTTTCTTCTCGCGCATCCAATAACAATAAAAATATATCTCTCTACTTATAGCCGACTCATGACGCTAGATATGTTTCCTTTTCGCGAAGCCTCCTGTTTGCTCATCGCTAAAAATATAATAAAGTTCTCTCACACGAGACAGTTCTACTTTGCTGTGACTTAAATTACAAAACTTTAACTAACATATTCTATTGTTATTTTTTTATGGAGACGCAATAGATTTTATCGAATGCAAATTACATTATTTTTGTATTTTATGAATCAATGAATCTGGTATGCGAGTATATGTGCATGCTTGCGTGCGTGCGTACGTGTGTGTGTGTGCGTGTGTGTGCGTGCGCGCGCTTATTTTCCGACAATAGAAGAAGATATTTTATGACTAGCTTTTCCTTTTTAGCCTAGAAATAAACTTAAACAACAGATATATTTCATAGCGTATAAATAAGTAGATGAATGTAACACGAAATCACTTATTAACTAGCTTTCTATGTAACGTTTTGATTTTTATGTTCTATAGATTAGGCGTTTTTTCGCATCGCGTAAGTAAACCTAGTCGCTTTGAATTGCTTCTCTTAAACTTTATTCGTACTGGCAAAATAAGAATTATCTCAGTTTAAAACTTGAGATGACTGAATCATAAAACTAGATAATAAATTTAAAAAACTCGATTTAAAAAAAATTATTGATACATCACAATAGATAAATATCAAATTTCGAATATTTTTGGTTTTCTTTTGTTTTGTTTTTAAACAAGAACGTTGATTCAATATCTGACATTTATTCTGTACTATATGTATACATATATGCGCGCGCGCGCGCACACGCGCACACACACATACAGGGTAACGAAAAAGTACCGGAACACTAGAATAACTCAAAAAATATAAGTTTTATTAAAAAATGTTTCAGACAAAAGTTATAGGTCTTAAAAAGCTCTGTTTACTGATGTTATCAGTTTGACCTTGGGTAACATTAAAAAGGTCAGGTCACATCAATTTTTTTAATGAAACATCCTATTTTTTCTTTCAGAATCTAATAGCTGGTGTGAAGTGCTTTTCAAAACACTATAATGAAGTTATTTTTCGCCAAGTACTTTTTGAGTTATGAGGATTGAATATTAGAGTATTGCCGGTATTAGAGTATTAACATTATCTATTAACGTTATCATTTATTTCGAATGTTGCTTTATCTAAAAAACACTATGTTGAATAGAAAGTTAGGTTTTTTGTCAATTCTCTACATCATGAACTCACAAACTTCGTTTCGATCAAAATTATCTTTGTAGAAAAGGTACCGGCGGTACTCTAATATTTACTCTTTATAACTCAAAAAGTACTTGATGAAAATAATCTTCATTATAATGTTTTGGAAAGCCTTTGAATTAAGCTATAAGAATTTGCAATAAAAAATAGGGAGTTCTATTTAAAAAAACGATGTGTGATCTTGACCTGACCTTAGCGGCGCCATTTAAGTTTACGGTATTACAATCAGTAAATAGATCCTTTTAAACCCTACAACTTTTGTCTGAAACACTTTTCTGTACTTTCTGAGATACTCAGGTGTTCCGGTACTTTTTCGTCACTTTCTATATATATATATAGAGTAAAAGTACCTATTATGAGATAGTCGCCTAATAGGAAATAGCGAGTTATTTCATGTAAACAGCTACAAATTTATAATTGCGTATTTTTAACACATCATTTACACAAAAATATCAAACTTTTTGTTAGTGTTGCTCACCACTGAAAGTGACGTGGTGTCTGCAAAGGAGTTATTGCGTGCGCTCAGAGAAGAGAAATAATCATTATAACTTTACAAATCTAATCCTTTTATGTTATAGGCTTCAGTGTCATTTCAATTCACTCAAATATACACATGCACTGTAAGTGATTTATCATGTAGTTTTGTCAATTTATTNCATACTTTGTCGCGGTATAAACTTAAATTTTCTGCAATTTTATATTTCTTAATATGAGACACGCAGCCGCTCTTAATATGAGGTACTTTATATTAGGAACTGTCAAGTTCTTTATTTTGTCAAGTTATTTGTTTGATGTATTGGTAAGTTTTTAGTAATTATACTTTCAGACGGAAACAAAGAAAAGGCAATCGTGATCAATCTCACGGTTAATTAGAAGCTGTTAAGGCAGTAAGAAGCAAAAAAATGAGATATTCAAAAGCATCTAAACACTTCAATGTCTTAAAGTATACTCTTAAAGTATACTATGTAAATATGTCTTAAAGTATACTATTGAGCGATATGTTAAAAATGGCGATAATTCTGTTGTTGCTAAGATTTCTATAGAAAAGAAATCCTTTGTGTCTTATACTAGAAACCCTCTTTTGAATCAACAAAACGGCATTTTTGATTAAAAAAATTTACATAAAACAAAGTATAGCTATTATCGATTGCTAACTTTTGGCGATAAAACTTGAATATATTTTCCATAAGTTTGACATAAAACTAAGAGTTAAGATTACATATTTAATAAATTACAAGCCTTTACAAAAAGGTATCTCATGATAGGCACTTTTATCTTATACATCAATATGATTTTTGTGTACAAGCTGATTCTATATAGGAAAATGGAAATCAGCACATTTGTATGTTTCCTTAGTAACGACTTTGTTTGAGCGAAAAGTTTGAAGGTCTTCTCACAGTTTATTTAACAAGTATAATCAGATTTAAAAGTTTCGAAAGTGAGAGTATTTAATCGTGTTAGCCCGAATGTTGAAATTTCGTGTTAAAAATATCAAAATTCAAGTCGGATACATACACCTTCTTTGCTGATTCCCACTTTTTATGCACGCCACTCTATTACAAGCAGATTTTATTGATTTCGGTATGTTTCATCGTATGTGGGGTTCGTCATGAGAGACTCTTATTCGCGACATATTTTCTCTCTTGATTTTAACGATCTTGACATTATGCATATGGACATATCAATAAAACCTATGCATATCATATATTACGTATCACTGTAAGACATTCATATCATTATCACAATAAGAAGAGAATGCGCGTTCTTTTAAATTTCAGAGCGCAAAGAAATTCGCAAAATTTCCAAGAGGAATTCTTCTCTCAATCTCTTTTTTAATAATTTTTTCACTTTTTTATATCTTTTTTTTATAATTCTATAGTCATAAGAACAAATTTTGCTATACATAGATATATATGTGTTGCGCAACGCGAATTATATACAGGGTGTCCCAGAATTAGTGTAACATCTCTCATAGAAAGGTAGAAAGAGTAAAACTGATTGTGAGTCGAAAAGTCCTATACCATTTTGCGAGATTCGTGATAGTTACCGAGGTCTTAATTAACAAAGGTCCGCAAATAAGCATGCATCATCGGCGCGCTTCGCGCGTTTACGGTGTTACCTGTAGCAAACGTATGGGAGGAGCTAATATACTAGCATATACTATAACATATACGTAATAAATGGTAACCGCGGGAAGCGCGCCGAGTTGTTTTATGCGCGTGAAACAGCCCGATGCATGCTTATTCGCGGATCTTTTTTAATTAAGATCTCGATAACTATTGCGAATCTCGCAAAATAGTATAGGACTTTTCGACTCAGTTTTACGCTTTCTGCCTACAAGAAATGTTACACCAATTCTGGGACACCCTGTATATTAATAATAACTATACACGATGAATAACTCAAAATAAAAAGATTTTTTGGTAAATATTTATAAAAGGTCATCACTCCTCTCTGAATTCAATGAGCTTGACATATGTTGTCAAGAATATCTCCCTGATTAACAATCAAAAGGTTTTAGCTGTAGCTCTTTGTTTGTTAAACAGTTATAAACAAAAGAAGTTTTATAAATAAATTCTTATTTTCCGACATTATGTACATTTTGTTCGTGTTGTAAGCGTGTTGGCAGGGAGAGGACTATGCCCTCCGCAGGAGGAGGGGCTCCGCCCCTCGTCCTGCACCTCTCCTCGAGAAAAAATAGGGAACGACTCCCGATTAAGTGTCGCTAAAAACCATGTACATACTATCACCATGAAGCAACATGTAATCGAAAGTCGTTCATTATTTTTTCTTGAGAAGGGTACAGGGGAACGGGCGGTGCCCCTTCCTCTGCGGAGGGCATAGTCCTCTCCCTGCCTACACGCTTACAACACAAACAAAAAGAACAAAAAAATAGTCTTGTTATTTCGGTTCAACGTTATACATGATGTACATTGCAAAATATTGAAAGAATTTGGCGTGATATGCGAACAAATATTCCACGTTATAAAACATTACAAATTCTATATAGCTAAATACTTATTTAAATGTCGCTTTGCACACGAAGAACAAATAGATCAGTTTTTCACAATAATGTCAGAGATATATCCATTACATGATATTCGGCTACAAAACAATGAATAATACTTACAATGCATTATGATAACAATAAAAACACACACACATTGTACAACATTACACAGAATAAATAAGAAAAATGGAAATTTCCAACATTCATTTACGGTCTCATTTGTTTTATATATCTTTTAAATACCTTTTTACCAAACAACGAGCAACGGCTAAGACCTTTTGATTGTTACTCAGGAAGGTGTCCTTGACAACATATGTCAACTTCATTGAATTTGGAAAGGAGTGATCTTTTGGGAATATTTACCAATTTTTTTCTCAATAAGTTGAGATTTACTATATAAATTATTTGAGAAAACAACCGTTTGTTTTAACTTTATACTGATAACGCGTGCGCATATTGTTGTATGAAAATCTAGATATTTTGCAGAAAAGTTTTCTTAAAATTTTTCTCTCTCTCTCTCTCTCTCTACAATTGAAGATTAGTTTCTCTTCAAAACTCTTCTCGTCGATAAAATTTCAAGGAGATATGTTACGGAACACATTTCTTACTAGCGTAGAAAATATGTGATTTAAGTTTTGCTCACACACAAGAAACAAACATCATACATGTGGATATACCAAATATTTCTCACAGACATCACACGACATACGTACATTTTTTATATGCGGGTAATTTAGTGCTCGATAAAGATTATTTGGTAAATATTCAGAAAAACGGAGCACTCTCGGAGATCAATGACCTTAACATATGTTGTCAAGAACACCTTCCTGAACAACAATCTACAACTTTTAGCCGTCGCTCGTTGTTCGTTAAAAAATTATAAACAAAAGAAGTTGCGTCAATAAACTGTTATTTTCCGGCACCGTGTACATTTTGTTTGTGTTGTAAGCGTGTAGGCAGGGAGGGCTGCGCCCCTCCTCCCTACTTCCCCCTCACGAAAAAATGAAAAATTCAATTAAGTATTGTTTCATGTCAAGATTGTTTACTTGACATGAAGTGGAATATTACTTCGCATATCTCGCCAAATTCTTTCGATGTTTTGCGTGTGACAATTAGTATGAGGATCTACGAAATTTTCTTTGTGATTTACTGTATGGTGAGTGTAATATTGATTAAGTAAACAATTATGACATGAAGCGACACTTGATTGAATTCTTCATTTTTTCTCGAGGGGGGAGCAGGGGAGAGGCGCAGCCCCCCCTGCTACGCGCTTACAACACGAATAAAACGTACACGGTGTCGGAAAATAAGAGTTCATTTATGATATTTCTTTTGTTTATAATTTTTTAACACACAACGAGTGACGGCTAAAAGTTGCAGATTGTTGTTCAGGGAGGTGTCCCTGACAACATATGTCAAGGTCATTGACCTCCGAAGGTGCTCCGTTTTACTGAACATTTACCGAATATGTGAAAGTATCGAAGAGCAAATGTCATCGCTTTGTTTAAGAAAATTTTACAAAACAGAAGACACAATGACTTGCGTATGACTTAAGTTATGTCATAAGATATATATGTATTACAAAATCAATTCCTGTGTTTATCGGTAGAAGTAAAATTCTTATCTTTGTGATTGTGTGTGTGTATGTGTATGTGTTCCTGGACTCTTTCACCAAACTATAGAACTTTACATATTCTATCGGACTTAGTTCATACTTTAAACTTGCATTCTTCTCTTGCATTCTTCTCATGCATATTACTTGTATATTCGTCCGACAAAGTTATCATGAGAATTCATTCAAAACACAAATATAGATATTACATTTTTTTCGTCACTATAGATATAATGTCTGTTATAAACCGCACTCGTCGGTTTACTGGCTAGTTTTCCGCAATAGAGTATTACGGTTAAAAAATGTGTTATATCTTTAATCATATGAGTGTGTCGCTATACGCAACAAGCGTGCGAACAATCATCGTGGAGCTTCAGATCTGTGTCGTTTGTATAATATACGAACGTTGCTGTGGTAGCTGACATGGTTTAAACGCACATTTTGCCACCACGTATATTATAATCTGACTTTGAAATCACATCCGCAAAACCGACAAGCAAAGAGAGAAACAGCATGTGAACACGTCTCTTAACGTGAGGCGTTTTATTACATAACCATCTTTTAAGTAATTTATCTTGATTCTCTTATCATTATGTATTTTCTACTAAAAGTATCACTTAAAAGTACTGTTCGGTTTATTTTCCGACTGGAAGTCCGAGTAAAACCGAGCCGAAAAGTTCAAGAGAAGCGAAGTCCAGAAAAAGGAACATATAGTTAATGTCAAACTAATAAGAAGATGATGTGGGATTTGCAGCAAACAAATCTATGTTTTGTATGTTTTAGCTAATGTTTTTTGTTTTTGTTTTATGTCGCGAATTGTACATCTCACGCGATTAATAAGCTCAAAATGCTCGTTCTGCTAGTATAACATTTTTTCCTCTAGTTTTTTGCGGTGCACTTGTTAGAAAAATGCATGTGGTGGCATGTATGTTTGGTCCTGTGAAAATGACATGGTGTGAGTGCGCATTGATTTTTTTAAACCAAACTATGCTCGCGCATATCGTAACGATGCGTGTACAGAATGATGGAACTTGGTCCTGGTGATGTAGCGAACGGCGATGGCGGTGTAGTACTCGAGCATGGCGGAGACGATGACGTGGACGGCAACGTCTTCCTCGAGGCAGACGATACCTAGGTGTTTTGACCCTGTTTGTGGGGTTTGTTCTCCAGGTTGTTGGACGGTCGACCCACGAGGTCCTCGAGCTCGTCGGGCGTCAAGACCGTAAAGTCCCTGCGACGATATGATGAAAATTAATAACGAGAGAAATGCAGGAAACATAATACAAAACTGTTTTTTTTTTTTTTTTTTTTTTTAATTTACTCAAAATATAAAATTAAAGTTACTCAAAAATTCTTATTTGATAAAACCTGTGATGACGTGTAAATTTCATTAAAACAAATATACGTAAATATTGCGTGAAAATCTAGAGATTTAAGACGATATTTATAGTCAAATTTTAATATATTTAAAATCGCGTATTAAGTTTATCTTAAAATGCTCGATAGTTAATAAAACAGTCCGATAACATCTTAAGTTATAGGTTTAAGACAGTTTTAAATATGAGATTGAATATGAATACCGGCGTTTCTTCCTCCTTAGACAAATGACAAATCGTATACCTGTGCTGCGCCAACAGCATGTCAATACTAGTGACACTCCGCTGATGAGTGCCGTCCTTCTGCGCCGCGTTCTGCTTTCTGATGCAGACGGCTCTCAGAGGTGCGACAAACACCCCTATGACGAGAAGACCGCTACCGGCGGCGATCAGCGCGGCCGAGTTCTGAGCAGCTTCCGCGCCCGGCGCGAGTTGCACCAGACCGACAACCAGAACTACCGCTCCCAGCAAAAGCGAACCGACGACGACGTATAGCGAATTGACCTGAAGCAATTTGCGTTGCGAGAAAAAAAAATTGTGTGACGTTTCCTCTATCGTAAAATCGACAGTCTTGTATTATTATATGTCGCAATGCAAAATAACTGTAGTAAAACGAAGAACAAACCGTTGTGTCGCATTGTCTTGATTTAAAAAAAAACTTTACCTTTCCACAGAAATAATATTCCGGTTGTTCTTTGTCTATCATAGCCAGCACCGCTTCACTTTCCGCTAATGGACTACCTGGCTGGCTGTTCCCTATTCTCGAACTTTTCTCTTGGTAGTAAGTCTTGTGAAAGACTTTTACTGAAGGTACCGGTAACGCAGTAATCATTCTGACAAAGAAAAATGATGATTGTATTTATATTCAATTTTCAATTCGTCAACAATATGCGATAGAAATGTAATTGTAAAATTTCAGGAGTAAACGTTAAAGAGCTGTAAAAAACATTGACGACATATTAACACGACAGATATTTATAAATTACACGATTGTTAAGTTTACTTGAATAATATATTACAACGACATAACTCGGACTATATTTTTCGTGTTAGTATTAAATACTGCAAATTATTGCGTAGCAGTGTTTAATGCGGCTCGGTAGTCGAATGGATATTGATGAAGACGATTACTAGCAAATAGTGGTGGTGTCGGTGACCTAGATATGTTCTCGGGGGCGATGGCCTTTATACCTCGATTATCGAACAACCGAAGTCAGCAAGGGTGCAGGGATGTATATCACTGAAAAACTATCGGTCGCATGACACCGAACTAAACAGTAGACTCTTCCTCTTTCTCTCTCTCTCTCTCTCTCTCTCTCTCTCTTTGTTTCTTTCTCTTCTTTTTTTGCAATTCAAAATTTCTTAGATTTTATCGGTGTGTTCACAATAAATGTATGTGTACACGATCTCGCGTGACGGCATTTAACAAAAAACAAGAATGAGCAAGAAACAGACGCCGTATTACTAATCTCGGCTGAAGTAGAAAATAGGATTTTGATATACGATTAAAGAACGGGAATGTCGGAATTACCTGAAGTTAGCCCAAGTCGCGGCTAGGTAACACGAAGGGATCTCGATTTGCAATGCCGAATCACACCGTGAGGTATGTGCATAATAAACGGATATAACCTTTATCGCTTTAGAAAGGCGTAAAGTGGAACAGTGGCCTGATTCTTCGATGTCATGGTTGCAGCTCCACGTGCATCGAAGGGAGAGAGAGAGAGAGAGAGAGAGAGAGCAAGAGACAGAGAGAAAAAGAGAGTGAATATAGGCCGCTAGAATGTGTGTGTTACATAGGCACATGAATGTGCAACTAGTATTACGCTACTTGGAGTTTGGTAGAAAAAATTTGAAAAAACGGATGACAACGGTATATTTTTCGACTTTTTAATAATTTGCTTTTTTTAACCGCATATTTTGTTTTTGAATATACTTTTTATTATAAAAATACTATGTATATATTTTTTATCGTCCGGATTTGCGCGATTCTTTGGCAGAGTAACGGCTACACGAAGCGGTTTATCCCGGAAGATCCCAACTCGCGGGTTATTCTACCATTTAAGTTACGACCGCGACAGTGATATCCTTTCAAATGACATACATTTCACAAACATTTGTTTAAAGAACATATAAGCAAATCATCTTTTAGATGACCTATTGCGAGTGTCGTCTGGATTAAAAACTTACAAGAAAGAACAACATAATATACGTTTTTGCAACATGAGCTTCTGATTGAATAGTATAATTTTACGAGATAATTGCTCAAAAATGTTATAATTGAAAACAAGAAAAATGGAAAAATAGAGACGCGAAAACATAATACCGCATTGTCGAAAGTCAGAACTTTCCGAAAGCAGAAGGGGAACGCATCAATCCAACGACATTAAGACAACGACCTATACTTTTCGTGCATTGACTCGCCGCCACTGCTTCGGTGTGCGTTGGTTATACTGTTGATATTCTGTGATGTTTGGCTGTGCTCCAAAAAAAATAGCTATAACAGGTTCCGATAATCGAGGTTAGTGCACGCCATATGGCCGTACGATTTTATTAGTTTTAGACACGTTCCGACGATATAAGAAAAGCGAGTAACAGCCGAACGAAAAATATTAGATGTATAATCCAACATTTCGAGTTTGCTGACCGAAATCGTGATGCGACATGATGGGAAACTCGAATGTGTTTTGTAAATCTTATATCGAAGTAAAACAATATGTGTTATAAGTTCGAGCTGCATGTGCACAATCCATGTTTCTTTATTAATTTTACAACACGATCAAAACACAAAACTTTCTCGGGTCCAAAATCTAACTACCTTGATTTTTCTTTGTTTGATAAAAATTTCAGATGTTCTACATGAACGCGCGCGGATGATGCTACGTTGTGCTAAAATCTCAGAAAATCGATAAATGGGTCACCATTGAACATTTAACAGTCAAAGGACATTTTACGCTTCGCCGATAAGCATTCAACCTCCCGAATCAGATGTTCTATATCGGAAATATTCTATATGTCTTTCTATCCTCTAATAAATTAAAAAAACAAATATTGTCGAGATTAAAATTAAAACGCGCGTGCCTCGAGATTTTAAGAGAATTACTACAACTAAAGCACAAAATTAAGACACTATTCACGAAAATGTTGATTACGTCGTAATTGTGTTTATATTGAAAAGTCAACGAAAATATACAATCGCGCGTGCTCTTTAATATGTGTGTGTGTGTTGTGTGTGCATTAAAGTTCTAAGTATGTTTGCTAGATATATATACATATATGAATATATAAATATATATATACATATATATGTATATAATTCTCGTATTAACTAGAATACTTAGTTAATAAAAAAAAATCAGAGTAAAATCATCTACGAGAAAAGATCGCGGAAAAAAAGTTACGTCCATGACGTATTTTTGTGTAACCGAAGATATATAACTCAGCTCATATAGCGTATACGAGCAGTAATAACGTCAGTACCATTTGCGCAAAGTGCACAATAAAATTTGCAACACGCTCGAAATATCTTCGCGAGCGAAAGAGATAAGGTCGCATCGATCGTCGTCGCACTCTCTTGCTATATTCTCGATACATATTTATTGTGCTCGGACTTACGTGCTTCGTTTAGCCGAATCCTGTGTGCTTCAGTGAAACAGTGAAAATATAGATGCAATCCGGGGTTTGCGCTTCAACCCTCGGCCGCTGTGCGAAAAGACTATAAATGTCAAAAAAAGCAGGAAAAGAAAAGCAGAGGCAAGATAGCAGTAGACGAACGAAAAAAAAGAGAGATGAAGAAGGACAGAAAAAGGAAAAATGAAGAAGAGAAAATGGGAGCACCAGTAAGCGTAAACGCGAAGCAAGTTAGCGAAACCGTTTTGACGGGGTGGTGGTCCCGCGACTACTGAACCTTTAAGATTCGTATCCCCTGGTCGATAAACCACCCCGTGGCCAGCCCGCCGCCCACCTGGGCGCTTCGTGCTAAAAGTATATCGTCACGACCACCTGGTGCGTTGAGGGCGCGCGTTGCGCGCGCATATCCCGTGTTTCGTGAGATGACATCTCTGACGTTTCCAAAACAAACAAGACAGCTCGCCTCCGGCGAGATCGTCATTGGAAATCTTTCTGACGTGCATTTGCAACCATCTCTTGCATCTTCCGTCTTGCATTTTTTGTTGATGGAAAAAAAAAAGAGACAAAATCGGGGAGAATCTAAAATAAGCTGTATGATTAATCCACGACCGACACGAGTGCCACTCGCAACAAAAATTTGCCAGTTTTAATAATAATTTTTGTCTTTAATCACGAAGGACAAGAGTCTTTTTTTACTTTTGTTTTTTTTGTTTACTTGATAATTTTTTAACACATAAATCAGGTATTGCAAAGGAAACACCAAGAATTTATAACAGAACCACTCTCGCTGTTAGTGAAAACGTTTTATTAAACTCTGAAAGTTAAAATAGCGATAGAGTTGACTTTTTGCTTACAGTTTTTTGTTTAATGTAGAATCACATACAAGATTATACTTGTGCATCCTTATATGTAAGGATAGTAACTATTTTGTTTGCTTTGTTAACATATCACTGTGTGTTACACGTTTTCTATCTCCCGTTATTTTTCGAATTGAAGCGTATATACGTATATAACAGTGGTAAGAATGATCGCGCTGTGTCGATCGGCGTACAAAGGAATTTATGTTTTTTATTCATTATGAGATAAGATTTCGACCAAAAAGTGTGTTGAAACTTTCATTAAGAATTTTTTTTTCCCGTTTGTCTGAACGGGATGCTTGGATTGCGGGTGCAGATCAATTGGCTCTGCGTCCAGCGCGTGTGTAACAGTATATATTTAATTTAATTAATCTTAGGAAGATGGCATGTGTGTGTACATATAATATAATATTGTATAATAAGTTTATACAAAATCTGAAAGAGACGTCTTTTGTCTTCTCGGAAAAAAGCACTTTTCTGTTTACCTCCGCTGCAATTTTTATCTCCTTTTCTTTCTTAATACGCAGTTGATCATCGATATAACGCGCGCGCGTAACGAGAAGATGCTGAACCGTTTTGTTTTACCGGCATTTCTTACTTCCGCTTTTATTCTGCATCTATTGATCAGAATGAAAAACGCTTCTCTAGAATAAAAGAAAATATGCTAAAAAATGGAAAGTATAAGAAAAATACAAGAAAAACGAAAACAAGTTATGGACGTTACTGAATGGACTGCATTTTCACATTACATACAAAATTAGCAAAATGAATTTAAACGAAAGTTTGGAATTTTCTATTTTACAAACATAAACGAATATTTTGAGCGTTTCAGAAAAAGACTTTGAAGCTTGTACAGAAAGTTTTAGCAAAATCGCCGGAGAAACATATGTCTATCTTTGCTTCGGTTCGATTAGACGGCGCTATCTACTGAACAGCGTAGCGACGACCGAATCGAGAAGTACAGCTGTCGCTCCAGCATTCTCTTCGGCAGCGTTCCGATATTCACTGCCAGTACTGGAAATCTATAGCACATATGACGTGAAGTATAAATTTTTAGTACTGGCAGTGAATATCGGAACGCTGCCTTAATCATCACAAGAAAAAGAGCAAAAATGTTTACATAAATCACTGTAACAAATAGAATCGTCGCATTTTTCTCCAAAACGCGCTGCTATCTTTCTTAAGCGCGATGAGACACGAAGATACACTTTAAGACGCAACTAGATATATATATATAGTTACGTCTTACGCATATAAAAAATAATACAATTATACATATATATATATACATATAAAAGAGAAAGAATATACGCACAAAAAGTACAAAAGTCAGTCGATGGCAAACAATTTGTACAAACGCACTGCGTTGTGTTCGCAATATAAGAAAAAAGAGAATCACGGAAAGTCACGAAGAAACGAATCTTGGCGCAAAGAATCTTTTTTTCGTTTATAGACCTTTACATATATATATATACACGCGACGTAATCTAACTGAAAAACGAGAAGTTTCGAACGCTTGAGATTTTTTCACTCATGAAAGCGAGCACACAAGCTCTTAATTACAGAATTATAATAAAACCTCGTTGTTCGTCTATATATTTGCAACGAAAAACGATTTTTGGCTATGTCAATTTTTCCACGTATGTAGTACATACTACACGTATATATTGTAGTAAGTATTCTCTCAGACAAGATGCGCGTATCTAAAAACGTTTCGAAGACAAAAGAGAGAGACTGACTGTTACAAAAAGAAAAATAAAACATCTTTTCAACGTGTTTGAGATGTTCTTAGAACGGGTCTGGGAAGAGGAGAAGTATATTTCATGTAAGCGCATAAAAATAAAAACCCGTGGTAAATATGCACTTCAGATCATACCTCATCGATTTCGGTACGCTTTAGATATGTTGTAGGGCAGGTCATACTGACAATGAGTAAATCAGGAGTGACGAACTTCTCCGCTACTCGCCATACGTTAGTGCGAGTAAGCGAGCTCAGTAGAGTAAGCGAATAGGCGAGTAGGAGAAGGAGCCTCTGGTGGCCCGCGAGCCGCTAGTTCGTTATTCCTAGAGTAATTATCTAAAACAATTTCGGGCCTTGGTTTCGGAGATATGGCAATTTAAAGTTTCTGAACAATACTACTATTTTTATACAATTAAAGAATCTTTTTAAGGCTCCGAAGATTCCAAACTAATAAATATATATATATATATATATTAAAAATATATATATATTTTTCGCAATATAAATTTAATTTCAATTAGGGGATTTGGGATCTCTCATATACGAGATGCAAGTATAGCATCCTATATGAATTTTAGAATTGTTATTTCAATTCGAATTTCACGTGTAAAATTTACACCTGAACACGTATATATGTATATATGTACACGTATAATTTCCGCACAACACCTAGCGAACGGCTCTCATGACCAAATATATATTTATTACTATTTTTATGTTTTTTTTGTTCATGTTGTAAGCGTGTAGGCAGGGAGGCTTCGCTCCTCTTGCTCCTTCGAAAAACCATGTAAACACTTTCGACATGAAGCAATTTAATTGGATCCTATGTAATGAAAAAAAAAAAAAATAAGGAATGACTTATATACAGATATTTTACTTTTTTATTGTATTGAAAGCGGATATTGTTTTGCCATATCAAAAAGCGCTTGTATACGTTCGGTAAATGCATAAAAAACATACATTTGCGACTTAAATTCACATCTGCTCCACACCGTGGACATTTAATATGTCCATAAATAACTTTACCATTACCAAGAAAATCTATTAATTTCTCGCTGTTCTCAACAAGAGTTATTGTTAGAAAATCGTGTAGTCGCATGTTGAAAGCTACTAACAAACTGCGAGAAATAATGAAATAAATCCCTCACTAATTATAAATTATCTTGTAGCTTCGTTTATATTCCTAAACACATCATTCCGATATACACAAACTTCACTGTTTGTAATATCAGCTTATAATATATAGAGTAAAATTCTGAAACTTTAAACTGTCACATCTCCTAAACCAAAGCCGTCCCCCGCGAAATGCTTTTAGATAATTATTCAGTATGATCTGCCCTACAACATATTTTTTTTTTTTTTAAAGCGCAACAAAATTGATGAGGTGTGAAATGCATATTAACTACCCGCGAATTGTTGCAATCTCCGGGCAAGTCACGCCTAAAAGAAGCAACGATAGTACAGTTTTGCACATCTGCAATGCGATTGGCACCGAATTCTTTTTTTTTAACAAAAAGGATCAACAAAACGTTTGAACAATCTGTAGAAACCAATAACAAGGACTTTATCTAGTGAATCATTACATTGTGTATGTACATACGTGTCTATTATATATATATATATATATATATACACAGTAGAACCTCCCAAAACGTATACTTTCCCTCACTCTTTAACTCACGCATGCGCAAAGACTTACTTGGTATAAATATGCAAGCGCTAGCGCAGTTAACTATACTTAGTGGTGGGAAAAATAATGAAGGAGAAAATATACGTTTTGAGAGTGGTAAACGTTTGGGAGGCATGTATGTTTTGGAAGTATACAGCCTCTTGCATAATGCGAGAGAATAGTGATAGCGATAAGCAATAGACACAGAATTCCAACTCGTCGGAAAATTTATCACTATTGCTTATTTCGTTTTCTGATCTGCATTGATATACATGTGTATTTTTGTATGTTAGATTCCGCTGTTCCTACCGTTATTTATAAATATAAACTCTTTAAAACTGATGTTATTTCTATCGCTATTTCTTCCATTGTGCAAGAGGCTTACGTTTTGAGAGATTCTACTGTATATATATACACATACATATATGTATATATATATGTTAGCGTCAAAGTCCGAAGCCCCGGCAATCTTAGGATTGACTAGTCAATATTCGAAGTAACCAAGCGTTTTGGGCAAAGTCCAAAACAGTCTTTTTTTTCGGGTTTTGACTGTTGTGTTTTTAGTCAATCTCAGGAGTAACCAACACGGCCAAAGTTGAAATCTAAAGAATCAAATCTTGAGCTGCGTACCGTTTCGCGCATTTATTTATACTATACATTACATGTACAATGGGTACAAAATAAATCGGAGGATGTGTCAATCAGACTCAATAGGATAGGCTAGCATTAAAACAAGACTAATTCTTTCATGTTCTTTTTGTTGGTGTTGTAAACGTGTAGGCAGGAAGGCTGCGCCCTCTTGCACCCCCCCTAAAATCTAAATTAACTCTAATTTAAACTCTTCTTTCTGCATTCCCCTTCGCAAAATTTTCACTCATTTCTATTGATATTGTGGTAACACAGGTTAGGTTAGATTTTAAGGGAGGTGCAGCAGGCGCAGCCCCCCTGCCTACATGCTTACAACACCAACAAAAAGAACATGAAAGAATTAGGATACGATCCCATGCACTGTTATTTTTTGCGTAACGCGTAACGCGTAACCAATCAAAGAGATGTTTAATATGTTTTATATTTCATTTTTTACGCGTTACGCGTTACACGGAGAATAACAGTGCATGGGATCGCACCTTTAGTCTTGTTTTAATACTAGTCTATCCGATTGAGTCTGATTGACACATCTTCCGATTTATTTTGTGCCCATCTGGGATTGACTAGTCAAAGTTCGAAGTGATAAAACTAAGTTTTCACAAAGTTTTCAACTTCGACCAGCCCTGTTGGTTACTCCTGAGATTGACTAAAAACAGTCAAAACCCGAAAAAAAGACTGTTTTGAACTTTGCACAAAACGCTTGGTTACTTCGGATATTGACTAGTCAATCCTAAGATTGCCGGGACTTCGGACTTTGACGCTAACATATACATATATATATATATACAGGATGTCCGACAATTACTTTAACATCTTTCGTAGGCATGTAGAAGGAGTAAAACTGAGTCGAAAAGTCCTGAACCATTTTTTTCTATTATTTATAATAAAGGAGTAAATTATTGAGTAAATCAGGCCAATCAGCGCCGACCTTTAGCCAGGCGCACGTCAGTGAGCCACGCGNNTCACTGACGTGCGCCTGGCTAAAGGTCGGCGCTGATTGGCCTGATTTACTCAATAATTACTCCTTTATTATAAATAATAGAAAAAAATGGTTCAGGATTTTTCGACTCAGTTTTATTCCTTCTACATGCCTACGAGAGATTGTACAATGGCAATTCTGGGACACCCTTATATATACAAGGTGTCCCAGAATTGATGTAACATCTCTCGTAGACAAGTAAAAGCAGTAAAACTGAGCCGATGATAAGTCCTATACTATTTTGCTAGATTCGCAATAGTTACCGAGATCTTAATTAACAAAGATCAGCGAATAAGCGTGCATCGGGCTGTCTTACGTGCGTAGGACAGCCCAGCGCGCTTCGCACGATTACATTTTCATATGTATATGTTATAGTATATGCTGTTATATTAGCTCCACCCATATGTTGCTACGGGTAACATCGTAAGCGCGCGAAGCGCGCCGGACTGTCTTGCGCGCGTAAGACAGCCCAATGCATGCTTAGTCGCTGATCTTTGTTAATTAAGATCTGAGTAACTATTACGAATCTAGCAAAATGGTATAGGACTTATCATTAGCTCAGTTTTACTGCTTTTACTTGTCTACGAGAGATGTCACACTAATTCTGGGACACCCTGTATATTATACACACACACACACACGTGTATGTATGTATGTATGTATGATGTATGTATGTATGTATGTATGTATATATGGTTATACATATATACGTGTGCGCGCACGACAAAGAGAGAGAGAGAGAGAGAGAGAGAGAGAGAGAAGAATTACATTTTATGTTTTTTAAATATACAAGCTACTTTCGAAAAATGTGGTTATCGCCAGATTGCACAAAAAGCGCTTCATATTATGCTAACATACTTATACTTATTTATTTATTAGGGGAAGTATTGTAAAGAGGGCTAACTTATATGTTATAAGAAAACAACGACGCGTTTACCGCGTTATAATAATGTGTGCGCGATGACAATGAGGGATGCATATATCCTGCAACGCGTACTGAGTGCTGTGCAATGTGTTGTTTTCAATCCCTTTTTTTTAAGTTGTTAATTGTATTAACTGTATATACATTTTGCCTCTTTTGTGTCACGAGTCAGAGATAATTTTATTTCAAAAGACGCTCGAACGCTGAGCGTTTCAACGCTCCGAATATATTTTCGCATGATTAAAAGTATCGCAATATACATATATTTATGGTAATATGGATTCAAGTTATACAGTTTATATGTAATTGTGTATAATGATTGTGCACCGTAAATTCCCACATTCAAAAATCAGGCAGTGCTGACTAATGAAGAGTAAATTAAATTATGCTTATAAGTTGCGAAGGAGTGCTATTCGCAATTCGTTTCGTACGCAGTATTACGAATGAATATCTTGAACTTTCATGAATTAACATTTCGACACGATCGTCTCACTATTATAGTTCGCGTTCATTTGCGTGTTTTTACCGCTAGATCAAGATGCGATAAATAATTCAGTCAGAACTAAGTTGCGCTGTAAATGTCCTCTTTTCATTGTTTTAACAATTCTTAATTAACTCCCGTTGTTTAACGGCTATATTACAGTTGGATCCTGAGATTTTTAAGAGAGACTATATATTCAACATTTTTCATATTATCTACTTGATGCAACTAAGGCTGTGATGCATTTAGTGCAACGGACTCATTAGGAGTGGCTAATTATCTGCTAATGCCTTTATATTATCGTACGTGTACATGTGTGTACATGTGCCTATGTTACTTCTTACCAAGTAAACAAGGAAACGCAAGAGTACAATGGAACATTTCAATGTCGCCGGAATCTCTTGTGAAGATACGCGTTCTAAAATATGTTGTCTGCGCAGTTTGTTTGTTTTTTTGTAACTGTTTAACATAGTGTTTTCAATTTCACGCAAGTAAATCTTTCTTAAATGGACCCCAATAGACTACCATGTATCTACGCGCTGAGAATTATTCTTGTAAAAAATGTTATATTTTTAATCTACGTAAAATTTTATTTTGTACGATGCGTGATTATATGTGTAAAATACGACGTATAAAAGTCGATTCTCACTTAACGATCAAAAAGCATAATCATGGTCAAGAGAAAAAATATCGTGATGCTTGACCTGATCGCGAGCAAATCTCGACCAATATAGTGTAAATCGAGCGTAAAATAACGTTTGTCCTTTTTCTTATAAAAAGGAGCAAAATTGATAATTGTTGTGTAAAAATGATACGTTTATGCGTAAAATAGTTTATCGTCTTCGTATATAAATGTGTAATTGTAAAAAGTAGTTTCAGAAGTAAACAATTCAGACAAATACTCAAAATTTTCTCCGCACGCAGACACAGATTTTTTGTTTAAGTTGCTTAAATAGTATATCTAATTATATATCAAGTGTAAAAAGAGATATACAATATGAATTTTTTGTTGCAAAAATCAGCAACAACTGAATGACATTTTTCACCGATTTTAAAGATCCTTTTGAAAGAGAAGAGTAATATATCGAAGTTTACTGGAATTGGTGGTGTGCCAGTGCTGGAAATATCTTGCTTAATTTATTAAAGTATTAAATATCGTCCTCGACATGTATACACGTCGTTTCTTTTTCTCTAGAATATTGATCTACGTTGGTTGTGGTTCGCGCACTTCTTCTTTTGTTCGAAACTTTCCTGCTGCGGAATACCAAAGACGAAACAACACACGAGATCAATCCGAGTAAACATTGTACAACGTTTTTTCTCATGTGTTGATTTCCTATATGTCTACAGTTTCCTATATATATATAGGAAATACATACATATATATATATATATATGTATATATATATATTTTTTTTTTTGTTTTTTTTAGTGAAATATATCACGATCTATACAAGGTGGTCCGTTTTTGTATTTTTGTTTCTATCTTTAATAGAGATTTGCCGAAACTTTTACTATAACGATAATCACATATATTGAAAAAATTCCCGACTTTGATTTTTATATACAACGTATTATACTGGCACGTAAAGAAACCAACTATATGTTCAAGATTAATAAAACTCTGAGTTTTTCTCCATTAAAGAAAAAAATATTAATAGTATTGAAGATAACAATTTAAAATCCAGATATTGATATAACATATTTTATGACGGTTTGATGAAGAAATGAAGACACGGAGTCATATGTATGTTGGTTGTAACAATTTTACATTTTATGTTCTTTGTCGAATTTGAGTTTTCATGTAAAATTACAGTGGAATGTGACAACCACCCTTTATAAATCAGTAGATAAACATTTACGAAATATTCTTAGATATAGCTTTATGGGCGCATAATAAATATCTCTAGATTTATATCCCCGATATATAATATGTAGAAAAGTGCACTTTCCTCGGCATATATTTACAACATAAAAATATAGTTCATATTATGTATATACGCAATTAAATCGTCAATGGCATAAGTGCGTTTTCGCCAGGATTTTGATATTCATCAATTTTCTTATAAAACAATATCTTGAAAGTCAAAATCTCAAGTCAACATTTGTTGAAATATGTCATAAATAAATAAATGAACGTTGTTGTTTTAGAGAGAGAAGAAGAAACATATGCCTCGGTTTTTTTAGACGCGATAGAAAACCACTCTCTAAGCTATTATATCTGTACACAGTAACGTGTATATGTATATATATATATATACAAGATATATACAAGATGTCCCGGACATCGCGATATCTCTCCAATAATTGTGATAACTTTGGCTGTGTCCTTTTGCAGTGTTAATAATTAATCAGTTGATAAGTCATTATTGTGTCGTTACAGCTCAAGAATGTATCGCTCATACGTCGATTATGTTTAATTCATACTCATCGTTGCATTGACAACGAATGCGTTATAAGTTCGTTTTACTTTTAGATTGTGACATTTGCCCCTTCATATATATACATATGTACGTGTGTGTGTGTGTATATATATATATATATACGCGAGCGCGCATATTTGTACAGAGAAAACGCGTTCCAGGAACACTCTGTACATACTTTGAAAAGACGTTACGAAAGAGAGAATATATATAATGATATATGTACTACTTTTTTCATTCTTTCCGAGAAATTGCGCTTATATTTTTGTTCCATTTGACTTTCGATCCATAATAAATTCGAACTCTTTCTTGCTTTCTTCTCACTATGTAGAGGCTCAATTTTGGACCATTGAACAATTGCGCAGTTTTTTTTCTTTATGTGTAATTTTTTTAGGCCTCTTCGGAATGCGATCCCTGACAACTGCATTTCTTTTTATGATTATTATGATGATGATGGTGATGGTGGTGGTGATGGTGATGATGCTCGTGCTCCCGATGCTGCATGAGAGCGTCAGTTTCTGGATGATTCTGAGTCTGATTGACAACTAAAAGATCCAGAGTGCCTTTAGGCGCGGCGGCTGCCTGCTGCTCGCTCGTCGATGGCGGAATAGGCGTTGCGACTGGTGACTCAACTGGAAGCGGTACGCAGTGCAACACGTAACATCTTACACCTGCCAAAATAAAGCCTGTAACAACAGTACAACGGTGATGAAAGGTTTAACATGTGCCGCATCTACATCTCTGCGAGCGATTCAAGCAAAGACAAACGCATATTCTCGTGTGTTTTACAATTTTTTTAATTTCTTTGTCTGTAAAAAATGTTAGAAATTGTTTTTATTTTTATTTTTTATTTATAGTTTTTAATTTAAAAAGTTTTATTGAAACAAAAAGAAATAAACACGTTTAAAGAGATTTAATAAGAGACAATATATGTTGTTGTACATAGTAATTCGAAAAAGAGTAAACTTGGTTCAATGATTTTTTTCTCGTTTTTGTAATAAACGTTATTTAATAGTGTGCGATGTGATATACAAGCTAAATACAAGTTGTAGTGAGGAAGCTCGTCACTTCGTATGTGAGAAAGCTCACCCAGTATAAGTAGGGCAGCGCCAGCCACGAGTAACGCCAGCCTGTGATTTGTGGTTGTTGCACCCGGAGCGAGTTGGACGAGACCGACCACTAGCACCACCGCGCCCAACAACAGGCACACCACTACGGCGTGCAACCCAGATATCTGTGGGCAACGATCTTTATCAGACAACAAACATATTTAACTCGTTACCACGCGAATATTTGCACCGTTCATAAAAAATTTTCTTAAAATGCACAACGGTTTATAAACTTGTACGCCGGACACGCGAGAGATAAAACTACAGTGAAATAAAATCAATTCTTAGTTCATTTTCTTTGCAAAACATTTTTGAACAAAAAGAAATGAAAAAAATATTCGGCTCTTTGAATTAGTTCTACGCATAACTGTGCGGAAATATATATTCGCTGTTTTTGTCAATTTTTCGTAAGTTCTCTCGTTGTCGATTCTATTTTGTGCAATATATCTTCTATGTTTATAAATACAAAAGTTGAGGAGGTTTAAGTATATGTCAGATATTTCAAAACATTAACATTATATACATTAATCGACGGACGTATCGTCATGTTAACCTGCCACTGTACCTTGCCGCATAAGTAGAGCTCGGGCAAAGGATCCAGATTGTTGTGTCCGTGCGGACTGGGAGTAGGCGGTGAACCCTGAAGAGGTGGTAACCATTGTCCTCCCAAATAGAGCTGACTCGGCCGCTTCAGCCTTTTTTCCTGCCTCCTACGCTCGTGGCGAACAGCCACCGCTGGCATTGCACCGATCATCCTGTGGTCAAACAAAAAAAGTAAACACTCTCAGACACTCTCGTCTCTGGGAAAAACATTATATCAAGTACATTACTGAAACGTCAATAAACACAGAGATCTCGCTACAGAACAAACTCACCTATAAAGATGCTATTAGGATAATGTTTACAAAGGTGTGTGTAATACAAAATACATATAAAAGAGAAAAAATATATATTACTTATTTTTTTCCCTCCAAACGAGATACTATATATAATATGCAAATAATTTGTTAATTTAATATATTAAAATATACTAAGTGCGTAGCAAAAATAATATATGTAAACAAATATATATATATATATCGTAAATTGGAAGTCTATTGTAAATCTTTAACAAAAATATATAAATTTTGAAACTAAAAAACGGAAAAAACAAGTTTTGCTATTATATGGTCAGCAAAAAAATGGTTGACCCTACGAAATGTTTTGTTTCATCAACAAAATGTTTTGTTGGCAAAACAAAAATTTTACTAAACTTAACAAATGTTTTTTTGCTGGCCATATAGTAACTAATTTCTTGCTATTCTAGCAAATCTTTTTTTTCCGTGATCAATTCACTTTTCTCAACTTTATCATTTACTGTCAATTTTTACTAAAGTTTTCTAATATTATCTATCCAATCTAATATTACAGGAGCTAGAAAGCGCACACTGATTACACAGGTACGTAACATAATAAATAAAATCTTTTATTCACAGATATATATATATATATATTCAAAAATGTGTTATGTAAAAAGATTTGTTTTTATACGTTATTTTCCGTAAGACCAACGGAAAAAAATCAATATCTCTCAGTAAATAATCTGAAAAACTGCGAGAGATTGAACGGTTTTTCGCGCGAATGTCCTGCGGTACAAACTGACATCGACACTTTTGCGCCAAGTATGCTGTGAACTTTGGTGACCCTAGTTGACCCCGGACCCGGTCGATACGTCATTGCATCCCTCTGGCCCGGACTCGATGCAGCTAAGTTCCAGGGTGGCCGAGGACACAAAAAAGAAAACCAATGACAAATCCCAACTATCTCTTATACAGCTCATTCACATCAAAACTTGTTCCGTTTAATCTAACAAACTCTCGCCTTGACGGAGATTGCAATTAACAAGAACTGATTTGTTTCTTCTGGCTATTAGGTGAGATCAGTACACATACACACACATGTTATATATACATGTTATAATTTTGTGTGTATGTACACATACACATACGTGTATATATATATATATATATATATATATATATATATATATATATATACACAGAGAGAGAACGGTTTCTTTAGATTTAACAAATTTTGTTAAATCCAAACAAATTATTTCATTGGAATAGTCCAAACAACCTTGATTTTGAACTAAACATTCCGATTGTTCGGAAATCTAAAACTTCAATAAAAAAAAACTCTCGCGGTTTGTGCCCTTACACAACTTCGAGATTTTACTCAAAATAATTTTTGGAGGTCCGATTCCAGCTTGCCAATCAACCCCGATGAACTCCATTGAAAGAGACTGGGACCTGAAAAAAATCCTAAGGTGATAGGGGGGAATTCGAACTCGAGTCACGCCTTCGACGAATACGTCGTATTCGCAGCCTTTGCACTCAGTCCGCAATACTACTTGCTCCTTACTAAAAAATGTGGTTATTTTTACCTACTTATTCTCAAGCATATCCTATAAGCGTTTTATTTATTATTTCTTTAAATTATTATTTGATTAAAAATATTGCAGTGCAATGTATCTGCAACAATAGATAAAAATATTTCTCTTATTATTATTAATTATTTATTATTCTTATAATTTAAAGTACATTTTTGCCACAACACGAAAGTTTTTGTCTCAAACAATGCTATATTTAAATCAAATATGATTTATGTTATATTTATGTTACAAAAAGATTTTTTTCATTAAATAATGCTTATTAAAACAAAATAAAATATTATTTCGTTGGAATAAATTATTTCAAACATTTGTATTGTTTCCGTCAAATAATTTAATTTATTTTAACGTAACAATATAATTTTCATTCAACAAAATTGTTGTTTGGTATAAAATTATGTTGTTTGAATGCAACAAATATGAGTCAAACAAATCGGATTATTAAATTTAAAGGAACCGTTCTCTCTGTGTATACACACACGAAATTATAACATATGTATATGTAACATAATTCGAATGTGTGACCTAACAGTCGGTGCTAATAAGATTGTAATAAAAGAAATGATATTGTGATAAAAGTGTAAACTCAAGAGAGGACAGATATGTGAACTCGCATATATACGATACGGGACGGGGAAATATATGACTGTATTTGTGAAAACGTGAAACAATCTTTCATTTAAGAATGGAGCGTTTCATAAATATTTATTCTCGAAAAATCGTGCATCAAGTTGTATATATGTAAGTGGTACAATAGAGAAATCGCATAAGAAAGCGTTTTTTCTGTAATTTCGTTAAAATAACTACAATAGTAGAATAATCGCAATAGAGCAGCGTATGTAAATAACTGCGTGTTTTCGGTGTTAACGACAATGATTACAACAATGATTTTCTTTATCGCGCAATAACTTTTACAATGTAGGTATATGCAGGTAGTTTTTTTTCACGCGGATATGTTTCTCTGCGGGCGGACTTGGAGGAGAACGAAGATATAGCATCGATTTTTGGGTATCGTGTATTATTTAAGCGACAATCGACCACACTTCTTGGTTTTGTTCCCATGTAATTCCGTCTCCGCACAAAAGTATCTTCGCGCGCACGCGAGAGAGAGAGGGGTAAATATAGTAATATTCTTAATTTGTTTCAGCAGAGAGAGAGAGAGAGATACATTCATGTGTCCGTTCATTAACTCGCTGCCATTCTCGCCCCTTATTTGTTTGTCAGTCACACCCAACATTTAAAACACGGATGAATATAAAGCGGAGCGTGTATTTCTCTTTTTGTTTAAAAAATTTACTCTTAATTTAATATTAAAATCTTCGGCAGGAATGCGTTTAGATGAACTTTAGCAAGAGAGAGAGATTTCCTTTATCATAAAAATCTCGCATAATTATATATATATCAATAAAAGTGAGCATTTCGATTTCGTTTATGCCGTTTCTGAATATACTTTCATATGATCTATGAAACTCCGGTTTCCAATTATCTATGTCTGTTTCTCACTCAAAATAAATAATGCGAAAATAATGGTTTCTTTTTTATTGTAGTTACAACTAAATCACTTAATGTGCGTAAAACAAAAATATTGTTTTTTAAATTTAATTGGCATTTTGATATATTGTTTCTGCAAAAAATCAACTAAGAATCGTAATAACATTGCAATTAAACTCACATGTTGTCGTAATTGAATCGTGCGTCTGAGATATATTGTTCTCGCTCGACACACACACACACACACACACACACACACACACACGTTCGTACAAAAATTATATTTTTATTCACGTGTGATGTGTGTACTGTTAAGTACAAGGCTAAATATAAACTTTGCATAATCTAAGAACGTTTTTCAAGACTTGGAAATAGAGAAATATGTACATGAAAGAAATGCAACAACAAATGCTCTTGGCTCTATAAATAAATCTAAGTTTTCTTCAAACAACTTCCTATGTTTTACAATTCGACTTATATACGTGCATTTATTTAAAATCTGATAAATCTGCATCTTCGTGATTGCACGCGCGCGATGTAACAACTACGTAGAATATAAAATTGTACCACTTATTTGAAAAAACGTATAAATACTTGCGGAGCAGATATTCTTGTTTTTATACTCCTTTAAAAAGGAGTTATGGCTCGTAAATCTTATGTTTGCATAAACAACAATCGATTGCATAATATGTAGTTTTAGGTTTAAGAATATGTATATATTTATGTGTTTATATACATGTATATATATATATATATATGTACATATATATATATATATATATACATATATATTCTTAGATTTTAATAATTTTATGCAAGAAGAACTTACACGCTACGTATGAGTAAGATTATACGTAAGTAGTTTATGAGATTTCAGCCTTTCAGTCGAGGAAACGAATAAACTTAAAACTGAAAATGTATTGTTTTAATAATAAAAATTATTTACGATCACAGAGAAGTTCGAATAATACTTGAGATTTTAATTAATGATAAGCACTCACGTGCATATCACTCCTGTTTCAAATGTACGCATTAAAGTAAAAAAAAAAGTGAAAAATAATGATCTCACATACTTCGTATATCTGTCGCCTTCGGAAAATCATAAGGAAAACAAAATACCACAACAAAAGGCACTTTTGCACGACGCTTAATTCAGAGCCGGTTTAAGATGTGGAAATACTGAATCTTCTTTGGGACCATTTAGGTTATCTCACGAACAATTCTCAGTCGTTACTTTATTTTGTTTTGTGCGAGTCTAAATTTTAAGATTGTGCTTGAATTACAATGACAGTCCTGGTCCCAATTTTTTGCAAACATTTTGTTTAACGATCTTCAACCGACCCTGGTTTAATCGCAATAATGAGTTTCGCCCTTTTGTTCATGCACGCTTGTTCTTTCTTGATAAGTATATAAATTGTTCTCTATATCGCTCTCTGTAACTCTCCTTAAACTCGCTCACTCATCATCATTCTCACTTTTTTAAATTCGCAAAAGACTTCAGAAATAGTGATCTTGCGCATATAATTATAATAATTAGTAAGGACATCCACTCTGTCAAGAAGGGAAAACCGCGTCCTCGCAATTGGTGATGTGAAAAACAACATGTATAATATAGAAAGTGCGTTCGCTTTGAGTGTATTCGCGCGTTTTGAACGTCAGTACGTTTTCATTGCTCGTTAAATGTAATATGATCGAAATAAACAAGTACGACCGTTTCAAAACGCGCAAGTACATTTCAAGGCAAACACACTTACAGTGTATGTACAGATATTTTGAAAAGACATTTGCAATGCGACTTATCTGACGTGTAAGACGATTAACTCCTCTTTTTTTTTAGGATCACAGAATAGTAGCGCCCGAGCATAGCGATATTTTTTTAATTTGAAGATATTCGTAAAACAAACAACGACGAGACGATATTTTCGCGCGGCTGTTTTTTCTTCGTGTGCAATAACGCGTGTTGTTATTTCAATTAAAATTTAGCGCGACGTTGTTTGTTTTCGAAAATCTCCGCCGACTAAAGCTAGAGAGTGTATATGTAAATAAATATTTATAATACATTATAAAAAGGAATATATATATATATATATATATATATATATATGTATATATGTATATATATATATATATGTGTGTGTATAGCGTATTACAAATTATCGAATGGCTTAAGAATACTGCTTGCGCCGACAGTCGCTGGACGAATAGTTGCAATTTTTTCTTTGCGTATCCTGAAGTTTATCGCGCACACATGATGTTTCTTCCCCGCCACACATCTTTTGATATCGCACAGCAATGTTCTTCGATAACACTCGAATTAAAAACATTAATTTTTTACTTTTTACTATATTATTACTTTTTTGTGTTCACGTACTTTATCACGCGGCTTCACTGACGTCGCACTTCTCTAAAAAAAAGTTCTTGGTTAAAAAGCTCCAATCGATAATTGCCGTAATAAGCATCAAAAGCATGTCAGAAACAATAATTAATAAGCTTTTGACTTTCGAATGTTAATGTATAATAGCATCATGTAATAATCAGCGAGCGTCGAAGAAGAAACATTTTGTACATTAATAGTGTATTTTTGGAGTAAAATTGTGTTTAATAGTGCTAGAATACACAAAGTCTCAGAGAATGTCAACGTATGAGATACTTGATCATTCTTTTTTCCAAAGACTTTCGAATCACGCGCAATGTAAGATGTTTATGAATAATATATTTCAACGATAATTTCTCGGCTACCTCATTGAATCCTTATTTCACTCTAAACGTTTAATATGTTGAACTAATAATTTAGATCAATATAAATATTTGCTTTTTAACATTCACAAATAAAGAACAAAGAAGTTAAATGCAAGATACATATTATATATATTGTATGTATATATATATATATATATATATGTATATGTATATATAAACACATATAATAAAAAATAAATTCGAAGTAAAATACGTACAAAAAAAAATAAAAAAGACTATCCGTATAAATATAATATACGCGCCATCATTCATGTCTTATACAGATTGATTTTTATAATTTTATATAAATGCCTCTTCATTGATTTATCGAATATATTTATCGAGTATTTCCTAGATATATTTTATGGAATGTATCTTTAACAGCATTGTTTTGCAAAATCTCGTGTCTCTTGTTACGATATGATCTTCTTTGAGTAGTGTTCTTGGTCCTTGAAGATTTTCTTTATTTTTCCTACTTCTTTATTTGCAAAGGATATTGATTATCGAAATATTTGCTCTTCTCGCGCTTCGTAAATCGATTACAAGTCCTATTGCTCTCTCTTTGGAAGAAACGCGACATTATGTCGGCACATTATCGCGTACTTTAGTGATTTGCAATACTTATATAAGTACCGTCACGTATGACATCATCGCTAGATGTATTAACTTACATGCGCGCAGACATTCCAATATTAGATAGATTATTTTAGCATTTATCTTTTTTTTTGCGCGAGTTTGACGTGTCACGTCATTTTTCTCGAACTTAACAATTTTGTGCGCTCACCTCGTATATTATTTATTGTACAGATCTTAGGATAAAATATATCCTCATGCGAATTTCTCTCTCGTTCACGAGTATCGACAGAAATACTTAGATAAATACTGTTTATTGGAAAATGCTTTTGCGACAGAAGTTTGGGTAAAAAGATTGTTTTCTTTATATGAGATACTTACGGCGAGTTACGTGTGTACGTACTTAAATACAGAACTCATACGCGACAAAATCACACTCATCCAAGTTAACTCGTTGACTTAAACTGATTATCGCGCGTTTCGTTCTTACAGAATTCTCATACGTAAAATTTTTTTTCTCTTCTCTTCTTATTCTATCGTCTAAATCTTGGAGATGTAAAGCGGCCGGTGAACTTGTTGCGGATTCCCGTTCTGCTTCGAATATCGCACGTTCTGCAGCAGTTCCCTGGTCTCGCTTGGCGAGCCCGGACTAAGGCTGTTGGTGGTCGAGGTCTCGACGCGGTCGCTAATGATCTCTTCCTCGGTGATCTGCTCCAGATACAGAGCCGACTGTACCGCCTGGGTATCACCGCCGTTGACTTGCGGCGTGTATGCTGGCGGCGGACTTCTCGGTGGTGTTTCGCCGCTCACGTCCTTTCCGTCCTTAATCTCAATGCAAGTGTCAGATGAGACCTGCTTCATCTGCTTTGCCCTTCTGGCGTGACGGGTGGTGAGTCCGCCGGTTTCCACGTCTCTCTCCAAACGATGACCGGATCGGGATCGAGTGAGCTGGCGCTGCACATACTCCTCGAGATCATCCTCCTCTTTCTTGGCGATTACCCGGTTCAACACGATAAGGAAAATGCCGACGAGTATGGCGAACAGCCCAACCGCCACGAGCTCATTCCACCAACCGCCGGAAGCCTTGGTACCCCAGTGGGCGAGATCGCCCGGCAGCAGACCGCTCATCAGCAAGAACGCGCCCAGCACCAGGAACACCACGCCGATGTGTAGCATTCCGATCGAGGTGACTACCTTCGTGTCAAGCATACCTTGGCCGGCGTTGCGCGCCGCGCCGTGCGGACCCTTATGGTGCCTGCCATGGTGATCCAGCGATCCTGTCGAGGCCCTAGGCGACGTCAAGCCGCTTTCGCCCGATTGCGCGCTATAACGACGTTCGCGTGCGCGACGCTGCTCATCCCGGCGCTTTCGCTGACGCTTGATGGCCAGCGCCGAGTGCAATCCAACCGCGTGCATCCTGCAACACCGGAAAGACAACCCTTGGCTCAGTCAATCCTTTTTTTTTTTTGCTACAAATTCGCGATCTGTGCTTCCGCGTTTGCTTCTACGTTTTCTCTCTCTCTCTCTCTCTTTCTCTCTCTCTCTTTCTCTCTCTCTCTCTCTTTCTCTCTCTCTCTCTCTCTCTCTCTCTCTCTCTCTCTCTC